GAGTTTATGAAGGGACCCTGAGGGTGAGGGAAGAGGGCATTCTTCTTAGAGGAAACATTTTGGGAGACCGAGGCAGGAACTGACCAGCCTGATCGACATGGCAAAACCCCATCTCTACTAAAAATACAAAATTAGCTGGGCATGGTGGTACATGCCTGTAATCCCAGTTGCTCAGGAGGCTGGGGCAGGAGAATTGGTTAAACCTGGGAGATGGAGGTTGCAGTGAGCCGAGATCGTGCCATTGCACTCCAGCCTGGGCGACAAGAGTGAAACTCCATCTCATAAAACCAAAAAAGAAAAAATAATAATTTATTTTCTCATTTATACTAGCCACATTCAAATTTCTCAATAGCCATATGTGATTAGTAGCTACCCTATTGGACAGTGCAGATACTCAATATTTTCAGCATCACAGAAAGTTCTGTTGGAAGTACTTATTTTGAACCATGAATTGATACAAAGAAAGTCAAGCTAAAAGTAACAATGAGGAAAGACCCCTGAGAGACTGTCATGGTCAGTTCTAGTCCCCTGACTCCCTGGTAACCACTGATTGTTGTCTATACTCAGAAGTGAAGAGGAGAGACAGTCTGGCAGGGAGGAATGCAGGAAAAGCACTCACCATGAGCCAGGTCAATGTGGCTGACTGCAGGGGGTTCAAGTCTCTCCTATCTCAAGATATTCTAGTATTTTATAAATAGTTAAATTGTTTCATAAATGATGGGTAACTAAAAATATTCTTGAATATTTATCAAAAGTTCGTGAACCCAGGAGTTTGACGTTTCAGTGAGCTATGATTACACCACCGTACTCCAGCCTGCGTGACAGACCCTGTAGAAAAAAAAATATCAAAAATTTGAATTCTATTCTGTTCCTCACCCCCTAAAAAAGGGCAACTTATTGTTTGAAAATGGCATGTGGGTGGGAAGCAAGTACACCATTAGTGCTTCTCTCTTCTTTGTTTCTCTGATTTCTGGGGCAAGTATGCCAAAGAACAATCTTCCATAAAGTTGGAGAATAAGGACATTACTTAGAAATCCTGCAGTGACTCACCTTTTGAGTGTGGTTGTCTGCAAAACAAAAAGAAAAGGATTAAAAACTACTGGGTTTTGGTCTGTAACCACATGAATTACACATCTTATGTAAGACTCATATCAGTCCTTTTAGATGGGTATCACTTAACCCTTTTGTGGATGCTGAATCTTAGTTATAGAAAGATAATATTGTTGAACAGCGAATTTAATTGACAATAAGATGTGCCCAAAACATGAATATTAGGCAAAAGGACAGTTATACTTTTTCCGATCCTGAAGTATTACCTAACAAGCCCACTCAACTTTAATTCTCTACCAGATGCACCTTTGTTTGATTTGCTCTTTACTATTGATTAAGGCGCAGACATCTAGTTACATACTAACTTGTGGATGTTTGTTGAGCAGAAATGCAAGAGACTTTTGACCAGTAGAAAAGAGACTGCAAATGTAACGCTTTTATCGCTCTGTAGGAAACTAGCCAGCTTTGCATCTGACTTGCAAACTTATTTCAGCATGCCCTTCCTGATAGACTATGTGAATTTCTGTTCCTCAAGTTCTCTTTGAACCAGTTTTACCATCTTGCTGGTTTCCTCGTTGATGATTTAAGTCATTTCTGACATATACTTTCTATATATTTTTTACAGCATTCATGTTAACTTCTTGAAAATTGTACTGTGTCACCGTTTACATTTGGCAACACCTAGATATGACCCCTATTGTTCTGACACAAACAATATCTTACCATTTCATGAAGCCTAGGATTTGTTGGGTTTCTTTTTCTTTTTTTTTTTTAATTGTACCTTAAGCTCTGGGGTACATGTGCACATCCTGCAGGATTGTTGCATAAGTACACACATGCCATGGTGGTTTGCTGTCTCTGTCCCCACCGTCGCCTGCATCAGGCATTTCTCCCAGTGTTATCCCTCCCCAACCTCCCCACCCCTGCTGTCCCTCCCTTCCCATCCCCCCTACCTAGCCCAGTGTGTGATGTTCCCCTCACTGTGCCCATGTATTCTCATTGTTCATCACCCACCTATGAGTGAAAACATGTGGTGTTTTGTTTTCTGTTCTTGTGTCAGTTTGCTGAGAATAATGGTTTCCAGATTTATCCATGTCTCTACAAAGGATGTGAACTTGTCCTTTTTTATGGCTGCATAGTATTTCATGGTGTATATGTGTCACATTTTCTTTGTCCAGTCTATCATTGATAGGCATTTGGGTTGGTTCCAAGTCTTTGCTATTGTAAACAGTGCCACAATGAACATACCTGTACATGTGTCTTTATAACAGAATGATTTCTAGCCCTTTGGGTATATATCCCATAATAGGATTGCTGGGTCAAATGGTATTTCTAGTTCTAGATCCTTGAGGAATTGCCACACTATCTTCCACAATGGTTGAACTAATTTACAATTGCACCAACAGTATAAAAGCGTTCCTATTTCCCCACGTCCTCTCCAGCATCTGTTGTCTCCAGATTTTTTAATGATTGCCATTCTAACTGGTGAGACATGGTATCTCAATGTTGTTCTGATTTGCATTTCTCTAATAACTAGTGATGATCAGCATTTTTTCATATGTTTCTTGGCCTCATAAGTGTCTTCTTTTGAAAAGTGTCTGTTCATATCCTTTGCCCACTTTAGAATGGTTTTTTTTTCTTGTAAATCTGCTTTAGTTCTTTGTAGATTCTGGATATTAGCCCTTTGGGTTTATTTTCTTAAGTAAATTCATGACATGTTAAAGCAAGACTAATCAAATAGATTTCATATGGCAGTCACTGTGGCATTGAGCCAGGCCTAACTTTTCCTTAAGAGAAGCCTGAGTTTATATGACATCAAAATAAATGACTGAAAGCCATGTGATCACAGAAACATGCAATTCTGTAGCAGGCAGGGATCATACAGATCTTCTAATTCAATCCCTTATGTTTAAGGTAAGAAAATTGTTATCTATGGAGTGAATTGCCTTGCAAGAGGCCACATGTCAAGTTGGAAGATGAGAGTTCAAAGTTATCAAATCCCAAGTTCTACTCTATTGCTGCTATTTCATATTTCTTCTAACTGGGGAGAAATAGAATATATAGACAATAAGACTAACTTTTTTACACCATAAGGGGACAAATCTCACTGGGTGGCATTCCTGTCTTTCCCTATCTGCACCTATGAAGAATAGTAGGGATATAATAAATCAGCTACAAGACACCCATCCAGAGTCTGGAGCGTGGAGGGAGCGAGGAACGCAGAAGACAAGCATCACTGGCATTGGGCCCTGGGTAAACAGCTCAGTCACCATCACAAAGCATGTTGTGAATAATAAAGCAGATCATGAGATCCTGACAAAGCCTCAGTTTTCTCATTTGAAAAATGGAGAACTATTAGTAACTACCTCATGGGCTTTGCATGAGTTTCAGAGTGAGATAATGCGTTACTGTATTTATTTGAGTGCTAATCAATGAAAGCGGCTATCACTGTTATGACTATAATTATTTTCATTTAATTACTAACATTACCACTGCTAAAATAGGTCCAGACTTGGGTGCCAACTCCATCCACTCCATCTCCTAACTCCCTTCAGAGAAACCAATGGGTATTACCCGATTAACGTTGCTATCGTCTCTGGGTTTTCAGATATATTGGTCTAGCCATGGAGAAAGCTAATTTCTAGAAAGTTAGTCCTTTCCTCAGGGAACTGTACCAGTAGGAAAATCACAAGACAAAATGATGAAAGAAGCATAATTTCTTTGTATTTACTTTTTCTGAAAGGAAATAGTCTTAACATAAACCTGCAACTCAGAAAGAGAAGGCTAACAAAAAGAAACTAATACATAGCTAAAGAAACACCTTACATTAATTTGGGGGCACAGATGCTACAGACAGATACCTTTGGCAGGTGACAAGATTCAGGTTTGTCAGGGAACATGAGAAGTGAACGTAGTAGTTCACCTTTGAAAGGCATTCCGTGAAGGTCATGTTAAGTTCTTTACAGGGAAACTTTTTTTCCTGTGTTGTATTCATAAAACTCAGATAATTTATTTTAGGTTCACTTGTTTACTTATTTTACTTCTTATTTTTATGGGCAGAACTTTGAGTTTTAATGGTCCATTGGAATTGATCAAGAGATCCACGCAATTGCAAAAGACAGCAGGCTCTTTACTGTCAGAAAGTGACGGCATGAATGGCTTGGTGTTCCTGGCACACCTAGTCCACAGTAAGTTACTGCCCAACATGCTGTGTTCTCGAAGCCCAGGGAATCCCTCAGGTGTCCTGGCCTGTGGGATGGATGAGCTTGTTCCAGGAGGCTAGGGGAAGAGGGATCTGCCAAGAGAGGAAGAAGAATGGATCCAATTCTTGGCTGATCAAGAAAAGGGCTAATTTGTTCAATCAAGAAGTATAAAGTCCAAAGGAACTTGCATTTGTTTCCCTAATAATAAAAATTACATGCAGAGAAGCAGCTTTTGAGGCCAATTACAACACTGTATCTGATCAATTTAACTAGACTTATATAGAGAGTAAGGGATGTTCATCATCTGTACATTGTTAGGCCAAGGCCTGGGAAAGGCTTAGGAAGGGCAGGGTGGTGAACAAGAAGACAAGACGACAGGGCTTTGGAGACAGACTGTGTTCCCACTCTGCCACATGCTAGCTCTGGGTCACTGAGCAAATAAGTTTCTAGGATTTTCAACTGTTAAACAGTCTTAATAATACCCAAATGAAAGATCAAATAAAAGGATACTTGTGAAAAAAATTTATAAAGTTATGTATCCCCTGCAGAAAGTTCTGTTGGTTGATAGAACCAAGTGGGTTTCTGCCAAAGTTTGAGGAGAATCAAAGGAAATGTTTGTCTGGTGACGTCATCACTGAAAACAGCAATAGCTTTCCATAAGACCTGCAGTGCTAGGCAGCAAGGACACTGATCTGTCCCAAAGTAGCAATATTTATATTCCACATACTTTCTGTTAAAAGGTTTCTGGTGCTCACTTCAACAGCACATATACTAACATTGGAACAATACACAGAAGATGAGCATTTGCCCCTGAGCAAAGATGACAGGAACACTCATGAAGCCGCTCATAAATCTAAAAAAATTTTAAGAAAGGTTACTGCAATGCACGGCAAGGATAGTATATTAAAAATAAAAATAAGTGGATCTCAGTATAAATGTCATAAATGTTTATTAGGGAAACAAGGATTTTGAGGGAAGAAAGCTGTAGTGCTTTACTCATTTTGTAAAAAATTAGACACTTCTGGAAGTGATGTCTAACAAGGGCATTTTGTCATGAAGTAGCAGAATAACTTTCCTTTCTTATCCCATAATCAGGAGCAGACCTGGAATAAGAACTGAGCTTCTTCAGTATCAAGTTCAATGTTTTATCCACAAGAACCGGCTTTTTCTTGAGAAGGGCAGCCCCAATATTTCCTATCCTTATTTTGTTCTAATTTCTGATAAATTTTACCACAGTAGAGTAGTGGAACTTGCTGAATATAGATAGAGCTGATTTCAGCAGGAGTTACAGAGCCTAGAGAAAAACCGAGCTGAGAAGAGAAAAATCCTGTTAGGACTAGTTTCTTCTGGGCCTTCCTGGCAGCACATCCTTGATGACTTTGTCCAGTTGAGTTTTAAATAATTCAAGTGATTGGCCTCCTATTATATCTCCTGGGAACTCATTCCATCACAGAAAGGAGCTGACTCTTAGGAAGTCTTTCTTGACCTAACATTGTTGTGTATGAGTTCTTCATACATTTTCTCCTGTTCAAAGAAATAAATATAAATGGAAGCAAGGAAGCAAAAAAAGAGGGAGGGAGGGAGGGATGGGGGAGTGGGGAGGGAGGGAGGCCAGGGGAAGGAGGAGGGAGGGATGGAGATAAGTGATGGAGGTGAAAGGGGGGATGAGGTGGGGTTGTTGGCTGATAGGAGAGGGGAGAGGAGGCAGAGAATAAAACACACTAAAAGAAAGACCTGGTTGGTTGGGGGATGGGAAGACAAAACACTAAAGGAAAGAACTATTTGGAGGGGGGGTATGGATATGCCTCGGAACGAATTTAAGGAGGCAGCATCAGTCCAAAATCAACAGTAAATCTTCTTCCTACTTTCTACCTCTCTCTGAACCTGAAGACATTGATCTTAAGGCTCTCAATAGATTTGGTCAATTCTGTAGTTGTTAACCTTAAATTGATATTTAATCCATTTACAAATGAATCCATAGCAATCCATGTTAATGTACACAAAAAAGCCTGCATACCAGGCCTGAGGAGGAATGTGGAATAAGGGTGAGAGGCGGCTTAACTGTCCCCGACTTGGGGACTTAGCTGTTGCTTTCCCACAGATCACCACCAGCCTCTACAGACATCAAGTTTACACGCCTTTGTGTCCATCCACTTTTGAACTTTGTGTTCTAAAGGGAATGTATACCTGAGGGAATTAAGAAATGGGTAGAGAGGACTATAGACCACAGCGGGCAATCCAGTTTCCAGGGCCATATTCTTCCCATCCCGTCTGTAAAGGTCAAGGGCAGAGTTCCCAGATCAGTGCCAGAAAGATAAACTCTTATGATTCTGTTGGAAAAAAAAGAAAAAAAGACACCCAAAAATGGGATCAATTTTTATGTCAGTGTTTCTTCACATTAGCCAAGAGTAGGTATGTTTTAACCAGGCTCAAGCTCAGCTCCACTTAACATGCATCTAACGCCACGGTTCCTGGATAATCATGACGCCTCTAATCCACCTCCTATTTTACTGCACAACCCCTGCAAGGACTATCTGTGTTCCAAAGCAAAATTCTAAATCCTCAACGCTGAGCACCAGGCCCTGCCTGATCTGGCCTTTGTTCGTCTTTCCAGCCTTGCCTCTGGCCACCTTCCCTGCTTCAGGTCCACACTGGCCATCATCAGCTTTCTAAAGGGTGGCACACACCTCCTCTGTGCCTTGGGGGCTTCTCCATGCACAGCCCCCTTGGCTTTTACTGCCACCTCTGATATCCTCCTGATTAATCACCACTCACCCCTCATACCACCTTAATTATTCCATCTTCAGGGAAAGCTTCTCTGACCACCCCCACTCCCAGGCTAGGTCAGGTCCTGTAGTGAGCTCTCCCAGTAATTTACAACTGGGGCAGGAATAATTATTATTTTTAAAATTTTTACATTCAGGGGTACAAGTGCAGGTTTGTTACATAAGTAAATTTGTGTCATGGGGGTTTGTTATACAGATTATCTCATCAACCAGTTATTAAACCTAGTACCCATTAGTTATTTTTCTGATCCTCTCCCTCTGCCCACCCTCTACCCTCCAAAAGGTCCCAGCGTGTGTTGTTCCCCCCTAAGTGTCCATGTGTTCTCATTATTTAGCTTGTAAGTGAGAACATGCGGTATTTGGTTTTCTGTTCCTGCATTAGTTTGCTGAGAATAATGGCCTCCAATTCTATTTATGTACCCTCAAAGGACATGATCTCATTCTTTTCTATGATGGTGTAGTATTCCATGGTATATATGTACCACATTTTATTTATGCAGTCCATCATTAATGGGCATTTAGGCTGACTCCATATCTTTGCTATTGTGAATAGCAGAGCAGGTATAACTAAACACATAACCATATGGTTCACACGTAAGGGAATCCACCTCCCTGGACTGTAAACCCCAGGAGGACAAACACCCAGACCTCTTTTCTCACCTTATCTACAGGTCCTACTAGTGCCTTGTGTATACTGGAAACTTACCCTTTTCTGCAAGAAAAATGGCAGTGTAGGTTACAGCCCATACTTAGAAACAGGCCTGTCTGTATATAGCAAGGTGTGACCCCTAGGATGCAGAGGTATGTGGTAGTTGTTCAAAGTGAATAAAACAATTAAAATCTATTGTTATCTGTTCTTTAAGTGGAGTAAAAGAAGACTTTCCCAATTGGAAACTAGTTTGTTGCCAGTTCAGGTTATCAAAGCAACCCTCCAAGGGTCTCCCAGGTGCTTTCTGCTGGGTTGCAGGGTTTAGTGAACACATGGTCAGGGACACATATCTCCTCAAAATAATTAGCCGCCTCCTGGGCATTTTATCCATTTTCCTATTATACTTTCCTCAACCTCTTAGAATGCATTACTTTTCTGATTTACATTGTTAATCCACTGAGAAGAGAACATATCTTCATTTTCTACAACAGCTAGTGCATGGTTAAATAATGCTTACAATAATATTTAAGGATAACAACCATAGAATATGTCTGGGAAAAATTAAGAAGATCTTAAAATATCTTTTTTCCCTTACATAGTAAAGAGTTAATTGTGATATTTAAAGCTGTTACAAATGGGCAAGAAGAGTGAAGAGATTCAACAGCGTTACTAGACACACAAAAATCTTCAATTATCTGGAAGCTGTATCAGCCCAAGACACAAGTGCAGACAACTGATAAATAGCCCAGTGGCTACAGAAACCACAGAAACACGTGAAAAATCTAGCACATTCAGGAGAAAGAGATAGTTCCAGAGGGCTTTTCAGGGACAGAATCTTGACGATTTGGACAAGTGGGAATGAACAGCATTAAGAGCCCTGAGAGGAAGACATGAGCCTGAAAAGATTCTAAGCAGGTCCACACCACCATCATCACTGCATCCTGTTAAGGCTGAGTTGGGAAAGGAGCTTCCCAAGCAGTCTCAGCTGGTGCTGGGGACACAGGAGGGAGCACAGAAGCAGTAGCTCATGTTCCCAACTTTTCTGTAAGTCCTGTCATGAACACAAAGAGGTCAAAAGCAGATGATATACTACAAAGGTCCAAATTAATCTGCTATGCTTCAGACCCATAGGCTCAAGAGGAAGTGGGCAGAAAGAGGGAGATCGTCAGGGCCTCACCTTCTTTGTAAAACCCTCTTTCACTGCCATGTCAGGTGTCTCTTCTAAATCTGACTGTTCCTGCTCTCATGCCTGTTTCACCCACGTGGCACTGAGGTTTTGATATTTCTGGTGGTCAGTATCCTTAGCGTGGAGTTGCCTTGTCTCTCCAGGTAGAACCCAGAAACTGTGGTCTTTCTTTCGCCACTGTCTTGCTTGGTCACCTCCACTCATGGAACAGATGTGGCTGCTGAACAAATCTTACAGTTGAAAATGGTCTGGCTGTTAATCCAAGTCATCAGGCTCATCCCACCAGTCTCTCTTGATATTGTTTAGTTCTAATGCTGACCTCCTAACTGAATGGCTGAACATTTTCAGGCCTGGCTGTTTATTGCAGACATCCTCCGGTGAAACATGAAAGAGGGCACAGCATGCTTCTTGTGGAACCAGCTGCAATGGTGGAATGTTCTTTCCTTTCTCTGCTTTGAACACTGTATTATTTGCAATGCAGGTGACCGAGCTTCACTCTTTGCTGTGTTCTTTAATTAGTCTGGTTTCTGGGTGGTGGTGGTGGTGTTCTGGTGCTTATTCTTAGATGCTATGCTATGTGAATAGCCTGTGAGGGCTCTTGTGTTTCCTTATTGGAATCTTGGTAGCTTCTTCAAAGAAGGTTGTTTTTTAAGAATGTCTGGGCTGCATGGAATTGCTTAGTTCTCACTTTTCTCTAAAATGCATCCGTAATTTGATCTTCCCTGATCTACAGTGATTGAAAACTGGAATATATAATCTTGAACCAAGAGAAAGTGAGAAAGAAAAATTGGACTTTTAAAAATTTACTTTATTAAAAAGTTAGCAGGAAGACAACCCAGTGAAAATTATTACATCTTTAATGTCAGCTATTAGGTAGGATAACAGAATGGAAATGGACTGGAATGGATTCAAATTTTGCTTCGCTGCTACTTATGCAAATGACCTCAAACAATTATCTCAACAGTTAAAGAATTTTTTCTACTACAAAATGAATGAATTACATAAAATAAACCACTTGAAAAGACTTGCCTGGCTCTAACATTCAATGGAGATGTGGCACACCAATCTCAAAGGTTTGGAGAGAAATGCAACTGCTTTACTCCAGTGGGAGATTTAGACATGACTAATATTAAAATCATCAGAAATTGAAAAGTCATTAGGTGAAATCCTTCATTTCCTTATATAAGAAGATTCTCATTTAATTCTATAAAATAGATTCTCATGCCTGTGGCCC